TATAAAATAGCTAAAGAACAAACTTCTACTGTTTGGCACAGAGAACTAGATTCAGTATCTTGTAACCTATAAGGAGGAAAAATATGAAAAGGAATATATGTATGTTTGTGTAGGACTGAAACGTTATGCTGTACACCAGAAATTGACACAAAGTTATAAACTGACTGTACTTCAGTTAAGAAAAAAAGAACCAAACAGGTGAAATTCGAGTAAGCTCTGTAGTTGGTTGTTGTTTGGTACCAAGGTCAGTTTCCTGGTTTGCATCGTGACTGCATTGACACAAGAAAGCACCCTTGTAGGAAAACTGGGTGTAGGGGACACGGGACCTCTCTGTACTATTTTTTTTCAACTGTGCTATTTTGCCCTGTGAGTGTATAATTATTATTATTTTTTAAAGTCTCTGATTCAAGAATGGTGGTGGCAAGGGTCTGCGGGTAAAAGACGGGGAGATGTGGCCAGCGGATGACCTTGGGAAAGCGACTGAAGTCTCTAAGGCTGCTTTCTCATCCTTGCAAGGGAATATTCAGGACAGAGGACAACTCCTTGGGGCTTGGAAAGCTGAAAGGATACCTGGCTGCCCAGAAAAGGAGACACCTGAGTGCCAGAAAATAAGGTTCTTGTTTGCTGAGCACCTGCTATGTGCCTTAGTCTCATGCATTCTCTCCGTAACATTTGCTACAAGCAGGAAAGTGAGTCACAACATAAACCCGGGTGAGGCGAATTCAAAGAGGGCTGGTGATGCCAAATTATCTCTCCAACTCGCGGGAGAGAGGGCGACGTGGGCACAGCAGAACGGGGCCCACGGCCCTCTGCGCAGTAAGATCTCAGGCAGTCTTCCTTGGAGGTGGGAGCAGTTTCAGGAGCAAGCTGACCCTTGGTCCCAGTTGCAGTGGGTCCCGGGGACTCGGCCAGACCTGGCTGCCGGTGGCCACTAGAAACTCACAGGCCAAGTGGAATTTGGGGAACAAATTCTACTGGTATATGAAGCTTTGTGACTCATCTCAGGCTGACAGGGAGAATTTAGGGAAGAAAATTCCATTTTTTGAAGACTTGAGGGTTTCAGGACTTTTCTCCCTCTGAGGAAACGGCATAGTCCACACAACAGATGAAAGCAAGAGTCAGACAGACCAGCCCAATTCCCTACTTCTGGGGCAGGTCTGTGTCTTTCATATCTTTTGGGTCTCAACTTAGAAGAGGAATTGCTGGATCACATGGCAGTTCTGTATTTAATTGTTTGAGGCGCTGTCGTGCTGTTGGCCACCGAGGCTGGATGCTGTTATTTTTAAGGCCATATTTTAGCACAACAGTGACGCCAGACAAGGATCTCCTCGGTCTCCTGACTGCCAGGAGGGTAGAGGTTGGTGGCGCCCCTGACACACGTCCCAGAGATGCCTGGAGGTGCGGCTGTCACCGCCCCCTCTCCACCCACCCCCACCCCTCGCCCTCCTGGTTTGGGGTCTGCTGACCGTGAGGCTGCTGCTGCTCTCTGGGAACAGCTCGTTGGCAGCATCCTAGTACTAAGCAGAGGACCTTTCAGCTTAAAGTCACTCCTCCAGATCAAGTACCCAATGACCCGTTGTAAGATAGAATCTGAAATCTGTTGTTAACTCTGAGAATGTGCCCAGTTCTCTTCAACATTACCCTTATATGAAAATTAAACATGTGTTTGTCTTGATTTCAACATAGTACTATTGAAATAATGGGTTCGATTTTATTTGTCATCTTTATCCTTAGTTCTGAACCTTCCTGAGTTGACAACTGTTAACTGAATTAGGGCCTGATTTTCCCATCTGAGGCGAGACCAGTAGGACTGTCCAGTGGGTGATGCTGGCAGCCTGGCAACGAGGGGCTGAGACCCGTTCCCGTGAGGTCACCAGTGAGGTCAGCGTGGAGGGCCATTTCCCTGTGCTCTGCCGCCTGAGGTGCCTGTCTCTGCTAGCCGCTGGGATGACCTCTAATGTCCCCACTGTCACATGCTCATTTGGAAGCTTCCTATAAAAAGGGACAACAGGCAGGTGGAGGTGGGTCCCTGCTCTGGAACACACAACTCCTAATGAGCAGCATGTCGGAGCCACACACACCTCCCCACGGGATGGAGAGACGGGATAGGGCAGGGGTCAGTTTGGCGGTGGCCCTGTGCCTCTTCCTGCTGACCCTTTCAGTCTCCACTGGGTGATGCTGGTGGCATCTGCCAGACACCTTCCTGATCAAGTTTCAGGTGGCTTTCCCACTGAATTGGCATTGCTTTCACCGTGGCTGAAATTGCTGCGGACCAAAGATTTTGGCCAAGACCCTGATCTGGAGCTGTAGCCATCCTCGGTGACATCTCTTGTGATCCTGGGGCTCAGGCTGAGCCTAATTGTCTAGTCACTAGATCTTTGGGTTCTCCAAAGGGGGTGGTCTCAGCTCATGTCCCTGGAGTCAAGAGTTGCTTGATTCTCACCTTGATTTGAGTCTAGGCCTGCATCGGGTTGCTCTACCACATGACCCTGTTTATCGAGTCCATGGACGCCTATAGTCCAACCTGCATGCTTATCAGAGGCCCCTTGTGATAACCAGGCCACGGCTTATAAGGCTATTCAACTGAGTTTCGCGTCTCTCAGTGGTTTTGTTTGCCTGTCAAGATAAAGTGGTGCTAGTGAAAGGGAGAAGAATCAGGAGGAATAGAGTTTACAAGACAAAAATAATGATAAAAAAGAATTTCAAACAAGGAGAGGTATTTGGAAGTGTCAAATGTCAAACTGGGATTGAATCTTTGCTGTTCCCCTGATTTGCTGGCAGAGAGCCCCATCTCTCTCCTCCCGTCAGCTTCCTTATCAGCAAACTCAGATCATAGTCCTGGTCTACGTTCTGGGATGATTGTAAGACCAGGCTGTAGTCTTCTGTCCCTCTGTCAAGTGCTAGGGGAGGTGGCCATGAGGCCCCAGGGACATGGCCTGGGATGAAGCTGCCCCGATAGTGCCCTGATGGACCTCAGCCCCTTCTCCTTGGGCCACGTCTGATAGCGATACAGCTGCATGACCTACAGGCTTGTCTTCTCACTTCCTTTATCTGTAAAATGGAGCCAGCAGTTCCTAGAGCCGATGTGAAGGTTACACAGGAAATGTGTGGATGGTGCCAGCACAGCGCCTGGCACCCGCTGAGCCCTCTGTCCACAATGGCTCTTTGCTCCAGAACCAAAGAGGAATTGGTTCTGGCTTTCTGTTTTAGACTTTGCTGAGTTGCCAGCACACTGGCCTTCTGGTAAATATCCTCCACTTGGAGAGAAAAAGATCTGTTGTCCAGTGGAGACAAGCCAGGGAAGAAAAGAGCAGCGTGCCCTCAGCCCTTCCCCGAACCCTCTGCAGCCATCCAAATGGCAGTGACCACCAAGGACAGGCCTCCTCGGGCGGGTCACTGGGACCCAAGGGCTCTGGTGCTGTCCCTGCCAGTAGGACCAGGTCTACAGGGACCTGATCTAGAGGGATTGCGGGGCATGCACACAGTGGCTGAGGTGGACTTAGGCCCCTCTCCCAGGTACCATGGGAGCAGAGCAGGGGACCATGGTCTCTGCAGGAGAGGGTCCTGGAGGGCTTCTCAGAGGAAGTGGTGCCAGATTTGTGCTTTGGAGGATGAGACTGACTTTTCCAGGTGGTAGGAACAGGTGTTGTGGCAGAAAGACCTGAGTGAGCAAATGCCTAGAACCCGCACGAGTTTGAGTTCAACAGCAGCAATATGACAGTTATGCAGTGAGCATCTGGTATGTTCCAGGACTGTCCACACCTCGTGGCACAAAAATGAGCAAGCAGATGGACTGGGGTGTGGTGGGTAGGGCGGGGTTGAGAGGCCGGTGGGGGCTGGGAGGAAGCCTGTGGGTGGGGGAGTGATTTCCCCAGGGCCTTCCAGTCTGTTGCTGGCAGGTGGTCCTTTGCAGAGACTGAGGCAGGATGGGCTGAGCGTAGAAGGACCTGGAATGTCAGGTGTGGGGTTGTTTCTCAAAGGGGTCAGCAGGGAGGGTGCTGAGGGTTTGGCCTGCTGGGCAGACTCTGTGCTGTGAGCAACTCAGGATCCAGGGCTTTCAGTTTCCCTTTTGATTTGAGGGGTATATCTAGGACCAGAGGACGCTGTGTCTGGTTATTACGCAGGCGCAGAGCAGGTGACTGGATCCGCACAGCTGAGAACGTCTGGGTCTGGTTCACACTCAGCCAGAGGGAGACTTCTGGGTAAGCAGACCCTGTCTCCCCATCCTCACCACGACTCTCTGAGAAGAGGGTGCTGGTCACTACTTGACTGTCACTGTTTTGGAGAAGAAGGAAATGGGAGCTCAGGGAGAGGAGGTGAGGGGCCCAGGATCACAGGTAAAGCAGTGGCAAAGCCTGGATGTGGAGGCAGGTGGATCTGACTGCTTCCTCCTGCTCCCTGTACCCGAAACAGAGCAGAGGGAGCGCAAAATCTCCTCAGGTGGCTGAGACATGAGCGATGACTCCAGAAGGAAGGTAATTGATGGTGGGGTCTGGTTCTTTGAGAAATTTGGGGAATCAGAGAAGGAGGAAGGGGGAGTCAGAGCCTTGTGGCCTTGAGGCCACACCGGAGGGTCTGTGCAAGGCTGAAGAGGGCAAAGGGTTTTTTCAGATACAAGGAATTAAAATTTCACAGGCCGAACCCCCCACCCCTGTCTCTCAGTGCCTGCTCAATGCCCTGGGGGGGAAACTGAGGCCTGAGAGGGGAGGACAGGGGACCAAGCAGGCAGTCAGCGGGGCTTTGCCTTCCTGGGCTCTGGGGGCGCTCCCTCAGGACTGTGTCAGGTGGGAGATGCAGGAGGTGGGCTGTGAGGAAGGAGGCCCAGAGCGAGGCAGGGAGCCAGGTCATCTGCACACTGAGGCAGCAGGTATCCTCATTTGAAGTCTCAGGGTTAAATGACTATATATAGACATGCGTCAATGACAATAATCAGCAAACGACCTTTAATAGGAACAGAAAAGAGATTTCTTTTAGTGAAACTGAGGACTGTATCACAGAAGACAGCCTCTCAGGGAAGTCTGAGGAAGCGCTCTGGAGAAGCATGCTGGGCAGAGAACAAATATCAGAACAAAGATCGTTAAGCAAGTAAGGGGTACATTTCTTCAAGTTCTCTAATAAATAAAACAGAGCAGCCTTTCCACAGTGAGTCAGTGTGCCCTTGGCATTTGGGAAGGGAGGCCCGTCACCCAAGGAGGACCAGCACGGGCATCCTGAGGGGGGTGTTTAATCTTTACTTTTAACGTGGACATTCACGCTTCTGGTCAGGTGCCCTTCTCTTTAATAATTAGCTAACAGGGAGCTTTAGGGAAGATAATTATGCTTTGAATACTGGAGAGTTTCCGGGTTTCTCTCCCTCTGGAGAAATGGCAAAGTCCAG